ACCTGGACGGCACTGTGGTTTGGTAAGAAAAAAGTCTACCTTTTCTAGAAAGTGCATACACATAAAGATGTAGGGATAAAAAGTCGCGTTGTCTTGAGTTTCTTTTAAATTATCACAGTAAGAAGAGGAGAGTGAGTGGGGAGGCGAGGAGGATAAAAGGAGAAGAGACGGGACCAAGGATAGAGGGAGGAAAAAACAGGATAGATGAAACAAGTTGGCAAACTCCTGATAAACATTGAATCTGGACGATGATTTCTATGGGGATTCGCTACTGTAGTTTCTCTACTTTTGTGTTGGTTTAAAAATTTCCTGATAAATGGCATTTAAAAAATATAAAGTCAAATCCCTTAACACAAATTACAATGATAAAAATCACCCCTTATGTTTCTCATCAGTTGAATTCAATAATCTTTCCATATTCCCTTCTAGCTTCACAAGAATTCTGTGAATAGCAAGACATAGAAACAACCTAAGTGTCCACGGGTAGATGAATGGATAAAGATGTGGCATACATCTCCATGGGACATTGCTCACCCACGAGAAAGAAGGAAATCCTGTCATTTGCTACAACATGGATGCATCTAGCGGACATTATGCTAAGTGAAGTCTAGATATCGTGAAACTAAAACCTTTTTTTTAAAAAAGAAAAGGTATTCTGTGAGATGATTATCTTTACTTTAGCTAATAGTAGTAGTACTAATATTCACCCTCTTTTACAGTCGGGAAACTGAACCTCAGAGAGATATGAGGCTTGCTCAGTGTCACATGACAAGAACATGGGGCCAAAGTTGTTGCGGTGAGGAGGGAACTAGGAGAACAGTGCTGTGCGCTGAAACCAGATCAGGTGTTCCAGCCCCAAAGCCTGGCTTCTTTACTCAAAACCCAGGTCTTCTGTATTTTGGCCGGAGGGAATTAGCGTCCTCATGTACCACCTTGATTATCTGATGAAAGGTGCACACACTTTTAAAATTACAGTGTGTACGGACTTCACATTCAAGTTCAAAAAGACTCATGATCTTCCTGATGCCCAATCAGAGCCTCCAATCCGGACAGTGTGCCCCACCCCAACAACGGCAACAAACTGAGCCCAGTGCCATGTTAGAGACTCACCCCCGCTACTCCACAGCCTAAGACACTGCTTTTATGGTCACTGCCCCCACCAAAGCCATTATAGTTATCCATGCCAAAATGCTGGCATTCCGTCTCACTCCTTCCATAATTTTGGCACAAATCCACCTTTTAAGCTTTATTTCTCACCCACTACAGTGTGATCTTCAGGCTCTCCCTCTGGTTCCCTCTCAAGGTCACACTTTAACTGCCTGGCCACTTGGCTGTGCTGGTGTTCTCCGAGACAAGCTTGCACGCGCCCCTCCTGGGGCTCCTAAAGCGACCTTTTTCTTTTTCTTTTTTTTTCTTTTAAAGTATAGGGAAGACACCCCTCTTTTAACTGGGATTCCCTGGACAACCAGCTCAGCACCTGCCAGTATCTGATCCATCCATGAGGTGTAGAGAAGACGCTATTACCCACGAAAACCCAAACCTTCTTCTAAGCAGGTTGCTAAGAACAAAGTGTCTTCAAAGCTTTGAATCCTGGCTCACTCCCTGTGTGCTGTGTAACCTTAGGGAAGTCACCGAACCTCTCTGAGCCTCAATTTCCTCGGTTAGGAACTAAAGAGAATGATGCCCTCTCTTCAGGGGACAGCTGTAACATTGATTAGGCATGCACATGGTGTCACCTGCACGAGCAAGCAAAGCTATGTGCCAGTCCACAGACCCATCTGTAAAATAATGCCATTTGCAGCAACATGGATGGACCTAGAGATCGTCATTCTACGTGAAGTAAGCCAGAAAGAGAAAAAGATACCGTATGATGTCATTCATATGTGGAATCTGAAACAGAAGACACAAATGAACTCACAGTCTGTACCTTGTTCCCCAGGCCCAGTAACTGCGATGAACTGAACCAAGAGCCAGTCCAGAGACGCCCCTCCTATAAACACACCGTGGAACACTACTTTTATTAAGACACGCCCCTTGCACAAAACTCTTACGGTTTTCCATGATCCCAAATGCACACATTCTTACTCCTTCCATAAATTCGACCCAAACTCAACATTTGAAAGTTATTTCCCACACAATACACAGTCCTCTTCAGGGTCTCCGTCCAGCTCCCTCTCCAGGTCACTTCGCATGCGTTCGTTCATTCTCCTGCCCACCCTGTTTGGGTTGGGGTTCCCTGAGACAAGCTTTCGACAGGGTCACCCCTGGGGCTGCTCATACTACCTCCTTGAACTGCAGTAACACGCGCAGCGTGCTTGGCATTCACCAAAATTTGTCTCATTCTGTGAGGTGTAAGGGGAACCCCTCCATGCCCTCCCCCTAAAGAAGTCAAATCTGCATGAAGAGAGCCTGAGGTTCTGCTTAGACTGCTAAGGCTACTAAGAACAACGTCTCTTCCCAGGTTTGGATTCTGGCCCACTTCCACTGAGCTGCGTAACCTGAGGAAAATCACCGAACCTCTCCATTTTTCCTCGGTTAGGACCTAAGGAGAATGATGCCCCCTCTTCAGGGGACGGCTGTCATATTGATTAGCCAGGCCCTGGGGCACAGTGAGCACCCACATGGTGTCACCAGCACAAGCAAGCGCAGCTATGTGCCAGGCCACAGACTCTCATACCCACTCAGGAGCAGGGGCTACATGCTGTGTCCAGCGTCCTCAGTCACAGCGGAGGTCCTTGTGCAGACTGACCCCACTCAGTCCCGACCCCTTAGCTCCGGCATCAGTGAGAGTTATGTGAGCCCTCACCAGGGGCCTTACTTGTATCACTTCATGTGCGTTTCACAGTATGGAAGGGCAGGTACCATCACGAGCCCCGTTCTACACACGCGGCACCTGAGGCACAGACAGGTCAGCCCACTTGCCCAGGGTCACGGAGGAAGTAAGAAGTGCGCCTGGGCAGCCTGCCTCCATACTGTGGGTCCTTCTGCTCCCGGGTGGGCCTGGCTGCGCCCCAGATTGTGAGAACCTGCAGCACAGTGGCCAGGTGGGCCTTCCCAGCCCTCCCCGCATTGCTGCACTGCACATGCAGCAGCCAACATCAGCTTATTGCCTGAAGCACGTATAAACACAGAAAGACGTGGTAGGGACATTCTTCTCACAAGAAGACATCCTCTCTTTGCTGCCAAAACTCAGATGATAGCCATCTTTATCTCCTCTCATGGGCCCTCATGAGAAATAATTACTAAAACGATGGAAGTAGGAAATGGGAGGCAACACAGTATGGTCGCTGAGAAAGATGAAAAAAAATCAACTCAATTAATCCTCGCAGCAACCCCATGGGTTAGGTACTGTTGTTATCTCAGGTTTGCAGATAAGGAAACTAAGGCTAAGCGGCAACAAGCAACCCAGGTTAGCCAGGGAGCGAGTGGAGAGAGAGCAAGGTTTCTGGTGTCAGTAGTCTGGCTCCAGGAAGAGCTAGTCTGAGACGGTAACATCTGGGTCAAAGTCGGACAGAGGCTGTCGCATTTCAATCTCTTACCACCTTTCTGAGAGTGAAATTGGTCAACCAAACACTTTAACTTTTTTCTTAGTCGTTCTCTGGGCGCATGAGGCAGGGAGTATTTATCTACTAGGCACAGTATGTGAGGTGACTAGGGTCCGTGATACATTTGGGGCCCATGAAAATAGTTTCGTTTCTGATATAAAACAGAGTTTATGAGAAGGGTGTTCCCGCAGGTAAAAATAGGATATTTCACCTACATTGTCAAGTATAGGGTCCGTTGTTAGAAGCTAGTCTTAATGTTCAGAATATTCACATATCTTGGAGCATCCACAAAACACTCGTTGAAGGAAGAATCTCAGGCCCCTCAGTCTGGCCTGGCTCTGTGTATTTGGCAATAAATAAAATTTACTTACTCCTCAGCAAGAGCTCAGGAGGGTCTATCTAGACAAACGGAGGTTTAGAGGAAAAGGGGAGGAGGCAGCAGCAGGAAAGGGCGGAATTCCACCAGGTCCACAGCACCTGCTCAGCACAGGGAACGAGTCGACTTCTGAAGAGGGTCTATAGCCAGAGGCACAGCCGAAGTTACGTTATGCACAGTCAGAGCCAGGAGCCAAGAGCCCTTGCAGTTTAGGCGTTCTCGGATGACCCAAGCACTGCGCGGGTTTTCAACTCCTGCAATCTGACGTGGATTCAGTACTAAAAATCTATACAGGCCCTGCACTGTCTCCAGGGAAGTGCTTGCTTGGTTGCCTACCGCCCGTCCCCCCCACTCCCCTTCCCCCCACCCCGACCGCCGCTGATAACCGCCGCCCCCTCAACTGCCCCCCCAGCGCCCCGCCTCCAACCCCCCCAGCCCCGCCCCCACCTGTCCCGTAGTGTGTAGGAGCACCGGGTGTTCCTGGAGACCTCAGGAGCATGGCAAACTGCGGCCTCATTGCAAACACTCAGAGCAAGCAAACTCCTGGCTAGTAACACATTTGACCCGTGTACAACACACCTTTGAACTGTGCGGGTCCACTTACACGCGGTTTTTTCCAGTTATTACACAGGCGGCCATCCATATCCGCGGGTTCCGTCCTGACGGACATGGAGGGCCGACTACGGGACCTGAGCATCAGTGGAAAATGGTGGCCGCGGAGTTTGGTGTACACTGGCGGTCCTGGAAGCAATAGCTGGCGGATACCAAGGATGGCCGTATTCGTTTGATTGCTATTCCCCGCTTACTACTGGCTGCTGGATATGGAGGGCTGGGCCAAGAGAGAGTCCCCAAACCCTTCTGCGAGGTAGGGCGAGGCGTCTCTCTAACCGCGCACAAATGGGCTGGCACAATGGAGCACAGCCCCTACGTCTGGGAAGACGCCCCGCCAAGGGCGGAGCAGCCAGCTGGGTTGCAACTTGGGGCGCGAGTTCTGCTCTCACGCGTGCTCCCTGCCGGCGCCCTCCCGCCGAGCCCGCCCCTCCCCCCCCCAGGCCCCTAGACGGCCGAGCCTCTGCCGCATGCGCACTGGAGCCCACCCAACCCCAGCAGGCGGCGGGAAGCCCGCAGGGGGAGTCTCACCAGACTTCCTGACCAGCCGCCAGGGGAGCCCTGAAGGTGCCGGGAGCCGAGGTCTCAGGAGATCGAGCGCAGCCTCCGCTGAAGCGCACAGCCTCTCGGACAGCACTTGCGACATGGAGCCTCCGCCTCAGAGCAGCCGCGATGCCGCTGCCGATGCGGCTGCCGGCTCCCTCAGCCCGGGGGTCGACGAGGAGCGGGGAGAGGCGCTCGGTCAGTGGCGGTGCGGGCGCTGGTTTCAGCGGATTCCAGGAAACGCACTTTCCCTGAGAGGGGCGAGCCGCAGGACCCCCCTCCGGCACCGCCTGTCCCCTCCTGTCCCCACAGGCCGGGCTCGCTGGACGGCCTGATCTTTCTCTTTGGGTTTCCTCCCTTGCAGAAGCGCAGCCCGCGGAGAGCTCGGCTCCCGGAGAGGGGGGAGAGGAGCGGCAGCCCCCGGAGGCCGCCGTCGAGGCTCTCGTGGTCGTGCCGCAGCGGGTGCCCCGCCCCGCGTTCACGCCTTTGCAGATGCAGGAGCTGGAGGGCATTTTCCTGCAC